AAATATTCCCTCCAACAACAGCAGAATTACCTGTAAGCACTCATAGAAACCTTATCCTGGGATTTAAAATAAACCTTAATAAATTTCAAAGAATTCATATGGAGTGTGTTCTATGACCACAGTGTTTTCCAAGAAATTAACAATGGAAAGGGAATGAAAATCTCCAAATGCCTGAAAACTAAACACACATATAATATAGGGATCAAAAAGAAAGTCTCAAGGAAATTTGTAAAAATACAATGATGCTAGGTATGGTGGCACACTCTTGTAGTAACCACTACTCAAGAGCCTAGGCAGGAGCATTGTGAACTCCAGACCAGCTTTGATTTAGTGACACCATGTTTCAAAATAAAAAATAAAAAGGTCTACAGATATAACTCAGTGGTTGAGTGTCTATTTTAGTCAGCTTTTTCACTGCTATGACTAAAAGACCTGAAAAGAACAATTTAAGAAGGAAAAGTTTATTTGGGGGCTCACAGTTTCAGAGGTCTTAGTCCACAGCCAGCCAGCCCCATTCCTCGGGGCTCAAGGTGAGGCAGAACATCATGGCGGAAGAGTGTGGTGAAGGGAAATGACCCAGGACATGGCCAAGAAGCAGAGAGAGACTCCACTCACCAGATACAAATTATATACCCCAAATGCATGCTGCCAAAGCACATCTCCTCCAGTCATATCCTACCAACCTATAAATACTACTCAGTTAATCTCAATAAGGGGATTAGTTCACTGATTGGGTCAAGACTCTCATAATTCAATTATTTCACCTCTGATGTTCTTGCCTTGTCTCACACATGAGATAAGGGGACACCTAATATCCAAACCATAACAGTGTCCCTGGGTTCAATTCCCAGTACTCCCCACTTTTATAAAGCTGGATAATAATGGAAATACATCAAATTTTGTGGTTCACAGCTAAAGGAGTACTGAGAGAAGAATCTACAGTACTAAATGCTTATAACAGAAAAAAAAAGTCTCAAAACAATACGTTAGGCTCACATGTCAAGAAATTAGAAAACAAATCCAAAGCAGGAAGAAGGAAGGAAACAATAGAGATGGAAATGAAAACAAAAAAAAAACAGAGAAAATCCATGATACAAAAAGCTGACCCTTTGGAAAGATCAATAAAATTAACAAACCTCTACCAAAACTGACAACAAGAAAATAAGAAAAACCAAATTACCAATGTCAGGAATAAAATAAGGGATGTCACTACAATTCCACTTCTGGCATTTATCCCAGAGAAATAAAAACTTATGTCCCCTACACAAAAACCTGAGCATAACTGCTCATTACAGCTTTATTTGTAGCAATCAAAAACTGGAAGTGAACAAAATGCCCTAGAAATTGTGAATGGTTAAATCATATTACATTCACACCATGAAAAATGCTATGCAGCAATAAAAGAGAATTAATTATTGATACAACTAGGATGGATCTCAAGAGCATTGTGCTGATTGAAAAAGGTCAACATCAAAGGTGACATAGTACATGAATCCTTTTATGTAACATTTTAAAAATGACAGAATCATATATGGAGAACAGGATGGTGAGGAGGATGGGAATGAGCGTGACTATGATGGGATGGCAAAAGGATAATCTTTGTGGTGACAGAATAATTTGGTATCTGGATTGTGGTGGTGATTACAGACATTAATACATAATAAGATGGCATAGTATGATATATATACTTTATACTAAAGTCAATTTCTTGGAGTTGATGGTGTACTATAGTTATGTAAAATGTACCCAATGTGGGAAACTAGGTGAAGGGTCTGGGGGACCTCTCTGCACTATCTTTGTAACGTCCTATGATTATAATTATTTTAAAATAAAAGTTGAGGACTGGGGATGTGGCTCAGTGGTAGAGCTCTTGCCTGACATGCATGAGGCCCTGCATTTGATCCCCAGCAACACAAAAAATAAATAAGCTAATAAATAAATAAAAGTTGAAAAACAGAATTAACTTAAGGTCCTTCGTGTGCCACTCAAATAATGCTCATACTTCATTTTTGTTTATATATCATTTTTAAATATTTCCACCAATATCACAATTGTCTTAACCACTAATTCACTGTAGTTCTGATTGTGAATGGATATTGAAGGGTGTGCTTTATAATGAACAGCTCTAAGACTATAGGACATTTTCAAACTGGAAGATAATATAATATCAGTACTTGATATTATAAAATAAAGCTGCTTGAAGATAATTAGTACTAAATTTAAAACAGGAAAGCAATGGTATGAATCTGGAAAATCAGGTCACAATTATAGAAAGAATAGTATAAACTCTGTAAGGACAAAACAACTAAGCAAATGAGTGAATGAGAAAGCTGTCTAGTTTTTGTTCACTGATACAAGAAATGTAGGTGTGCACATCCCTTGCCATAATTCTGAACTATATTTTGAACACTTTCCCACAATAAATCTTAGAAAACAAGAAAGGTTTATACAGATGGAATTCTGTTTAGGTAAAAATGTGAAGTAGTAATCAAATACACAGCATCCATATGTGTTTTTCTATATTACTAAGTTTTGTATTTTAATCTGCCTCTAGCATTTTCTCTACCACTTCCAATCATCTATTCATAGATTATCCCTATTTTACCAGTAAGAACTTTATGCCACTCTTGTTCCTGTTATTCCCACTTTTTTTTTTGCCCAAAAATCCTACCGCTAAATCCCTACCACATACAGGGAGAGGGCCTGTGAGAGATGACTGGGCACTGCAAAATAGAAATTTAAACTAGAAAAATAAGTTTAATTTGGCACACAAATTTGTTAAAATTATTTACCATAAGGTGTATCTCCCACTCTTCAAATATATCATATAGATGACAAAACTTGAATTGTGTCACCCCCAAATGGATTCTCCTATAGTCACAGGACTGGGATACTGGTCACCTAATTTGTAGATCCTCTGGGTAACTTGGAGATGGGATGGAGAGGAAAATAGAAGTCAATTATGATACTCATTAAGAATTTAGAAGAGTATGAAACTGAACTTGATAGGAATTAATATTATAGTCATCCTTCTGTATCCATGGGTACCAATTCAGCAGATCAACCAACCTCAGATGCAAAATATTATGAAAAACTGCATGTATACTAAACATTTACAGACTTTTCTTCCTGTCATTATTCCCTAAATGGTACTATATAACATAGTGTTTTACTATTTTATATAAGAAATCGAGAAATGATTTTGAAGTATACAGGACAATGTGTATAAATTATACACACTGTATATGCCATTTTATATAAGGGTATTGAGCACAATCCTCTGAGGATACTGAGGTACAACTGCATATGCCAGGCACTGTGCTAGGAACTTTTTTATATTGATAATATTATTAACTGCTCATAACTATCTATGATACAGGCATAAACTACACTAGACATGTGGGAAAACTCAGCTCTCAGGCTTAAGAGGTAGAACTAGGATTCAAACTCAAACTTGCCTCATATGATCTTTCCACCACATCCTGCCTCTCTAAATCCAATTTAGCTACTCCATTTCAGCTACTCCATTTCTCTAAATAATTCTTTCTCCTAGAGCATCAAAACACACACACACACACACACACACACCTCAACAACAACAATCAGCGATACTTGTTGGTAGAAAAGGAGACTAAGGTTACACTTGTTAAGAACTGCCCTTACCCACTAGATTCCCTTAATCAATATTCTTCTGACCATTAGTCATCTTTGGGATACAGCTGATCTCTAAATTCCTTCTAGGACTAAAAAACAATGGGACCTCAAGTCGTCCTCTAAGTCCTAAATACAATTAAATTAGATGTTTAACAACATTGTTTACAAATATTTTCCTGAGGAAACTACTGCCAGTTTAATTTTATTTAGCGATGTTATATCACTTCCAATTATTTCCATTTTATTTTACTAAAATTTTCTTTAACAGAATCAATTCTTTGCAAAACTTAAGATTCTATTGTGTGCATGTAAGAATATGTAACAGATCCCATCAGTATGCACAACTATAACGCACCAATAAAAAAAATTTAAGATTTACCCTATCCATTGGTTCTGAATTGTGATTTTTCCCCCCCGATAATGTCACAAATTTCACCCATTAGTTTCACCATCGGGAACATTCTTTCGTGGCTTTGATTTCTCCAAACCTAATGCTTCTCTGGAACGCTCTAATTTTCTGGCTCTGGAGGTCTAAGTAATGGACACAAAACCTGAAATGAAACATCCTACACCTGATGTTCCGAAAAGCTGGTCCAGGGTATTCAGCATTTGGTAGTGCAACTCTAAAGACACGCTAAGGGAAAGTCTGCTATTCGAGTAGCCAATAGTCTGGACCTAAGCTTTGTGGATACTTAAGGAAACAATCGTCTCCTCCCTCTCCTAGGATACTCCTCCCACTGAGGGCAAGGCTGGGAGCGCATCTGTCAGTCGAAGACACTCTCAGGCGAGCGCCAGGATTTGTCCAGGGGTCCAGAGATCCGCTGGCGGGAGAAAGGGGACCAAGGACTCGGGAAACCCCAAGGGCCCCACGAAGCCCTACGGGTCTAGCCAGGGAGAGGGCGGGGCGAGCCCGGGCCGCCTCCACCTCCAGGCCCGCCCTGCGCCACACCCGACCCCGCCTGTTTTCGGCTAACGGACCTCGCGCCCGCCTCCGCCGGCGGCCCTCACCTCGCCCCGACGGCGGCCTTCAGAAGTCGGCGCCCACCACAGTTTGGCCGCGCCGCCCGCCGCCTCCTCGGCAATCTTAGCCCATCGGGAGGACCCGGCGCAGGACACCGGTGGCCCGGGCGCAGGTAGGCAATGGTGCGCACGCGCCATCCACGAGTTCCCATTCGCTACTGCTAGGCGACACCCGCACCCAAACAGACCAATCCTGGCGCGCCTTCACAGCCCAGTCCCTACAGAGTCCGGAATTGAAGCGTTCTTAAAGGGCTGAGACCCAAATGCTGAGGGGGCGTGACTGGAGCGCGCGTTTCCCAACTCTCTTCCCATCTCCTGACTCTCACCCTCGCGGGTTTGAAGTCCAAATCTCGCCTCTGGAGGTGCGAGGAGGCTTCGTGGTCTAAGCTCGAATTCTGCCGGGTAGCGGACAAGACCGACGTCTGGAGGCTGGAAGGCTCTGCCTGACTGAGCGACTCTCTCGGGCGTGGGTTTTGCGGTCTGCGCGGCTGGGCGGGAGGCCGGAGATAGGCAAACCGAAGAACACGGCCCACTGCCAGCCTGGAGGAGGTGCCAAAGTCCGACCCTTGAGCGGCACACCCCAGATGGGGGCGGAGACACCCATGGATGACTAGATACGTGAGAGCACAAAACAATTAAAACCTACATAAATACAAACTACTCAGCTGACAGGAGCAGGATTTGGGGTGGGGGATTTGCAAGCACTTCTAACCTTGACTCAGAGGATTCCCCGAGTAGCAAGCAATAAGTAGGCAAAGGAGAGCGGAAATAGTAGTAGTCAATAGGCAGAGAGGAAGTGTGTTTCAGAATGAGAGATCAGCATGTATAAAGAAATCTGTGTAGAAGGCAAGAGAACTCTTCAAATTAGAGAGATAGAAAAAAACCTGGAGAGGGGAGAATGGGGATTTAGTGTTTAATGGTACAGAATTTTATTTGGGAAAGATGAAAAAGCTCTGAAAATGGATAGTGGTGATGGTTGCACAACAAGGAAAATGTTAAATGCCATAGAACTTTACTGAATAGCAAAATGTACGTTATGTATATTTAACATCCCTTTTCCCTCCCCCCCCCCAAAAAAAGAAAAGACATCCAAAGTGTAGAGAGTAAAGGAGAGGAATGAGAGCCATTAGAGAGAATAGAAGGAGCTGAACCATGGGGCCCTTTTCACAGGCCACAGTGGAAAGTTTAGATTAGCAGAAAACCACATTTGCATTTCGTAAAAAATCACTTTTGGTTGCTAAAGTTAAGATTAAAATAGAGACGGCCCAGTGAAGCTGTGGTGGAACTAACCTCAGTCATCTGGGCAAGAAAGGATGGAGTTGGAGTGTGAAATGAGATGAGAAGAGAACAGAGCAGACTGCAGAGAAATGAAGAACATAATCACCATGCCTTGGTGACTAACTGGATGTGAAGGATGGATAAGGTGGATTCAAGAATGATGCCACTGTTCAGCGTTGGAGGGAGGGATGAATAGTGGAGACATTCACAGATATGGAGAATGCTGGAAGGAAGTCTGGTTTGGAAAAGAACACTGATTACAATCTCTGTCTTAGACAAGCTGAATTTCAGGTACCTTTGAGACGTCTTTGTAGAATTATTGTGATGCTGGTTTTGAATGTCCCCTTGACTGAATTAAGACATACCCAAATAAAGGTGGTAAAATTTTATTTATGTATATGTCTATAAAGTGTTTCCAGAAGAGACTGACATTTTAATTACTGGAAAGAGTGAGGAAGATCTGCCCTCACTCAATGTGGATGGGCACCATCTAATCAGCTGAGAGGCTGGATAAAACAAAAAGACAAAGGAAAGAGAAATTCACTCTCTCTCCTCCAGAACTGAGACATCATTTTTTTCTCCTGCCTTTGGCATCAAAATTCCACGTTTTCCAGCCTTTTAACTCTGGTAGTTTCACTAGTGACTCCTCAGTTTCTCAGGACTTCAGCCTCAGACCAGGAATTACACAATAACAGTCTCCCTGACTCAAGGCCAAGTCCAAGTCAAAATGGACTTGACTGAATCACACTACTGGCTTCCTTGGTTCTACATCTTATAGATGGGATTTCTATATGGGATTTCTCCACCTCCATAATTATGTGTGACAATTTGCCTAATAAATCCCTGTCCTATAGCTATATATATCCCACTAAGTCTGTTCCTCTGGAGAACCCCCAGTAGAGGTGTCAACATAGCAGTTGGACCTGTCTAGGTTCAGTGTAGAGGTCTGAGCTGAACATAGACTTCTGAAAGTCATTATCACATGGGTGGAAATGGAAACAGAGCTTACAGAGAGACAAATTACAAAATAGAAACAGAAGAGACTTGTGTTAAGAGTCCAAGATGGGCTCCAGATATCACTGCCTCCTGTGTAGTCCCCTCCCACAATGAGTCAGAACTGGACCATGTGATAATGGGACTAAGTTATAACAGACACAAAGGAAGGAAAAAAAAAAAAAGGTGATTCAGAGTTGGGGAGGAGACTAAATTGTAGGTGCCAGGGCTAGATAAGGAGAGAAAACAGGTGCTAGACCTACAAAATTCTGAAGCTTTCAAATGTGGAGCTTTGGGCTCTTAGAACCTTGATGTTGAGTGGGCCTACATCTAGAATAGGGCCTTATACTTTTGACTGGTGCAGCTGCTGTGGCCCCGACACCAGCAATTTGGACAAGAGCAGTAAAATGTAGTAGCTCTGGTTCTAGTCCTTATCTCGAGTAATTGGTCACTTTGGCTCCAGGCCATTGTCATCTCCATAGGCTTTCCCTTCCAAAGCCTCTTCAGCCCTCTATTCCGAGGACCTCTGTATCACCACAGAGGTACTCCATCTTGTGGGGCAAGTGGTGCACACCTGTAATCCTGGCTAAGGGAAGCTGAGACAGGAGGATCACAAGTTTGAAGCAACTTAACAAGACCCTGTCTCAAAATAAAAAGGGAAGGGCTGGGATTGTGGCTCAGCAGTAGAGTGCATGTCTAGCACGGGCAGGGCCGGGTTCAATCCTCAGCACCACATAAAAAATAAAGGTATTGTGTTGTGTCTATCTACACCTAAAAAATAAATTTTAAAAAAAAGTGTTGGGACACAGCTCACTGGTAGAGAGTTTGCCTAGCATGTGCAAATCCCTGGGTTCACTCTCCAGTACTATAAAAAAAAAAACTCCATCTCTAATTATGTATAACTTCAGACACTGATCTCTGACCTGTCCTTTAGCTAATCTCTGAATTCCTCCTACTGTTCTCTGGTCTGTGGAAACTTCCAGTCCAGTTGTCTCTATACTTTGTTCTATTTATCAACTCCTTTTAGTTTTCACTTCCTTCCCCATCAGCTAAGAGTCCAGGGTCCATCATTCCATAATATTCTTCTCAATATACTTACATCCCTTACACAATCACACCTTCCTGGCAGTGCCCACTTGCCTGGTGATGCGCCACCTTTCCAGACAAACTTCTGTCTTCTCTGAGCCTTCTCCTTGCTGTCAATGCTATTGGACAAAATCTTACAACCACAGAAATCACAGTGTTAAATAGACTGCCAACCTTAACTAGATCCTCAGAGCCATCCGGCAGTTCTAGGCTTGACAGGTCTGCTCTTTCTTAGTTCTCCCCAACACCAAATTCCAAATCTCTTGTATGCCCCCAGATCTCCCATTCCTCACCCCCTCTTTGTTCTCCTAGGTGCCTCCTACACTGAAGAAAGAGCAAACATCAACGTGATATCTGTCAGCTCCCAAGGACTCTGCTTCCCTCCAGCTACCATCTTCTTTCCTTGATCCCTTAATAGCCAAATCTCTTAGAAAAAGTGGTCTGTGTTTGAACATTCCATTGCTTTATCTTTCCCATAATTTCTCAGTCCCCTTCAGTTTTGATTTCTGCCTTACCTCTTTACTTACATTGCCCTCATCAAGGACATCTAGGATCTAGTCTTAATCTTGCTTGACTTTTCAACATTTATCATTGATAATCTCTCTCTCCTTCTGAGTTGCTCTTTTATCCTTAAATTCTATGACCCTACACTCCTCTGGTTTTAATCTCTTTCTCCACTCAGTTTCTATTGCAGTTTCTTTTCCTTTGCCATGAGGGAAACCAACACACTCTCTTTGGTCAGTCTTATCCATCCACTACATGGTTCCAATCAATCCCCAGAGTTGATGTTTCTCAAAGCTATATCTCCAACGCAGCCCTTGTCCCTGAGTTCCAGACCCAAATAACTATGAACTTCACATCTCTGTATGACATCACTCCAAACAATATATTTCTACTGTACTGAATGTATCACCCTCACTTCCAGTCCACCTTCTCCTCCACTAATGGTATCACTAGTCTTTTTTTGCCAAAGCCAAAACTCATGGAGCTATCCTTAATTTCCCTTTCCATTCAATCACTGGCCTGCACATCACTTCTCACTGCTCCTTTTGTTTCTCATCTGCTTCCTGATCCTTTACCCTATTATAGCCAGGAAAATTCCGAGATACATCTCTGACTTCATCACTCTTCAGGCTCCAATTACTCCTAAAAGAGTCCAGATGCTAGACACCTGCCACCTGCATAATTTCCACAATGTAAGACATGAGTTCTCCTGGAGGGTGTTCCCTGTATGTTGGATCAGGTTGGTTCCCTGCACCTGTCCCATATTAACACCACCTCATGTTATTATCATTCCTCACTTGTCTAAATAGGAATCAGGCTGAGCAGGACTATGCAAGGTGTGCATCCTGCTCTAATAGGCCTTTCCCTTCCCCCTCTGTTCTGTACAATCTTTGGGGAAATTTCCTTAGGTGAAATCCTGATGAAGGGGTAATAGTGCAGGCTTGGGAACCAGGAAGCCCTTAACTTTGCCCCAGCTCAAGTACATTATGCTACTTTCGCAGTAAATTTACCTCACTGCGAAATGAGATGAAAGCTAACTCTTAAAACAGGTCGAATGCAAGGATTCTGCAGGGAGAGCCCAGCAAAGCCACTCATAGAAATGGAGCTCTAGAAAGTTCCCCCTTGGAGGAGTATAAGCTCCTAAGATCTCCCTCCTAAATGCAGTGCCCATGGCCCTCTGTGTGCTTCAGGGAAAACCAACTTTGTTAGCATGTCCACCAAGGATGGGCTAGATACAATCAGTTCAAAGTTTTAGTGGTCACTTAAAGCAGCTACATGGCCCAGGAGGGTAGGCCCAGGTTCCTCGTTGAATCTTGCAGCAAAACACCCTCACAGTATGCTGCATGGGCAGTTCGGGGTAGTAGTTAAAAACGGGAGTTCTAAAGCCAGATTGCCTGTGCTCAGACACAGACTTGGCCATTAGTAGCTAAGAACTTTGAGCAAGTTACTTAACCTGTTTTCTAATCTGTAAAATGGAGAAAATACTGGTGCTTTTTAGGGTTGTAAATATAATAAGCATTACTAGTGACCAGGGGAAATATAGTTATATGCGAGAGTTTCTCCTCAGCAAAAAGTAAAAGCAACACCAGTATCTTCCTGGCTCTGCTATACCCATGGTTCATGCTCCAGAGGCATCAAGGCAATATCGAAAGGGCCATATTGGCTACTTGGAGCCTTTTATATGGGTTTAAGCCACGAATCTTGGGTGAACCAGAGAAACTGACCCATGCAGATTACACACACAGCTCAAAACTCAAGTAGCTGAAGATAAAGAAGGTCACCACCGACCCAGCAAGCGCAAACCGCTCCAGGGCCCTAGGGGCGGGGACCGTAGAGGAGGTCTTGCGTGTCCAATCACAAGTGACGTCTCTTCCGCCCTAGGCAGGAGGGCCCAATCAACGTCAATATCATAGCCCCGCCCGTCGTAGGCCCTGCGTCCAATCACAGGCTGGAGGACCCTGTCAAGGGAGAAAGGGTAGCTCCGCCAGCCCTGGGCACTTCCGCGCGGAGATAGCGTCTATCTGGCCGCAGGGTGCGGGTCTTTTTCCGAGGTGGGGTGCCGACCCGGGCCCCCAGCGATGTCGGTGGCCTTTGTACCTGACTGGATGAGGGGCAAGGCGGAAGTCAATCAAGAGACTATCCAGCAGGTGAATGTCTACATGGGCTGAGAGGAGTGGAGATCCAGAGGGACTGGGTGGTGAGGAGAACTTTCTGGAGTCAACCGACCCTGGTTGAGACCTGTAGTCCCCCTAGCGAGCTGACCTGCTGGGGGTGTGGAGTAGGATGGGAACTAAATCGTTTAAGGCACCGCAGCAAGACATCCTGGCTTGGAGGGTGGGGGGCAGCGCAGGCTTCGCCGCCGTCCTGACGTCACACTGCTCTGACTTTTCCCCTGATCTTTCAGCTCCTGGAGGAGAATGACCAGCTAATCCGCTGTATCGTGGAGTATCAGAACAAGGGTCGAGCGAATGAGTGTGTCCAGTAAGTATCTCCTTCCCGCCCCTGAACTTTGAGTGGAGGGAAAGCCAGTATGATGATGCAGCAGCTGTCCTCAACTAGGAGTTTTGGGTGATGGATCGCAGAAAAACCAAATTTTACGGTTGAGGAAATGTAGGTACAGAGGTTACTTCTTTGCCCAAGAGTATACAGCGAGTACATTGTAGAACCTGGAGTTAAATGTGTCTCTCTCTTCAAAACTTGATTATTCTCATTGCAAAGCCATCTTCCCTGGATGAGGATGGCCCCTTTATCATCATAGGTCATATTGCTTCATCTCCTCGTGAAGTAAGAAAGTCAGACAATTTGGCTGCTAAAACTCCCTTTCATTTCTTTCCCTCTCTCTTTCTCTCTTTATGGTGCTAGGTATCAAACTCAGAACCCAGGGTCCTGTGCATGCTATGCATTCCAGGCAGGCACTCCGCCACTGAGCCACATCTTCAGCCCACTCCCTCCCATTTCTGACTTGTAGTTAATCTGTGAGTGACATAGTCAAAGACCAAGAAAGGATTTCCAAACCAAAGGTAACTTCTACGTAGTAATTTAATGCGATCTCTAGCCAAATACCAAAATGAGACAAAGTAGAGTCTGAGTTGCTTTTCCAAATCTAGTCCAGGAATTATGCCCCATTTCTTATAGAAGATATTTTATTGTTATGAAGAAATGTTTAAGAAATGCTATGCTTTCCTTACCCAATAAAAAAATTGCCTACAAGCTGTGTGTGGTGTCACACACCTATAATCCCAGCAACGGGAGGACAATCTCAAGTTCAAGGCCAGCATCAGCAACTTAGCAAGACCCAAAGCAACTTGTAAGACTCTGTCTCAATATAAAAAAATAAAAAGGGCTAGGGATGTGACTCAGTGGTTAAGCACAACTGGGTTCAATTCCTGATAACAATAACAACAACAAAAAAGTCACCTACATTCCTCACTGAATACCTCAATAGAATAGTAGAGAAATCTATTAAGGGTAAATCTTTATGTTTGACTGACATTTGGCACTTTTCTTTTTGGCAGGTTATAGTAAACCCTCTCATTTTTCTATATGAAAAGTGATTGCAACACTTTTTTTTGATATTGTGAATTATTAATGCAGGGGTAGGAAACTTATCAAAATCTTCTAGTGAGCTTTTTCTCACAAGATCATGCTTCCTGACCCCTGATCTGATTTGTCTTCCTGAATGGGGAGTTTGACTCACTGATTTGGAAATTGTTGTGCTAGGGCTGTGGCTCAGCAGTGGTGCACTTGCCTGGCATGCATGAGGCACTGTGTTCAGTTCTCAGCACTGCATATAAATAAACAAAATAAAAATCTATCAACTAAAAAAGGGCTGGGATTGTGGCTCAGTGGTAGAGTGCTTGCCTAGCATGTGCGAGGCCCTGGGTTCAATCCTCAACTCCAAATAAAAATAAATAAATAAAATAAAGGTATTGTGTCTAACTACAATCGAAAAATAAATATTAAAAAAAACTAAAATTTTTTTTATTAAAAAAATTGTTGTAGTAAACACATTAATTTTGGTGGTATCTTTTCCATTCTTGAAATTTGCTCAACAGTACTATAGAGGGCAGTGCTTGAGGTAGTGGGTAATTATTAGCAAAAAAAGATACCAATCTGCTCTCATGGAGGTGACATTGTAGACTCTAGAATCTATAGGGAGACAACAAATAATTAGGCACATAATATTAAGTGCTTTGAATGGTAATAATGCAGAAGACTAGAGATGTAACTCGGTGGTAGTACACTTGCCTAGCATGAATGAGGCTCTGGGTTTGATCCCCAGCTTGCAAAATAAATGAATAAAATAGGGAATGTGGGGAGGGCTGTACTCTTTTATGTGTTCCCTCACATACCTGTATAAATAAGGCAGAGAGAGCACCAAGTAGAAAAGTTCCCTGGTATGAGTTCTCTGAATACCTTCATGTCACAAGAAGGCCACAAAAGAAAAGCCATAGATGGGATCAGAGAAGTAACTGAAGGCCCTTATCACATAGGGCCTTGTAGAGCATAAGAAGGATTCATCTTTACTCTGAATGAGAAGGGAAGGATTTTAAATCCTTATGACATGATCTTGACTTAAATTGTACAATGATCACTCAGACTGCTGAAGAATAAAATGGGGCCACAAAGGTAGATCTAGGAGAGTATTCCTAGAGTCTAAGCAAGAAATTATGGTGGTTAGGTCTACAGAGGTAGAAGAGGTATAGAAGTGGTAATGTTTTCCTTGAATATGTTATGCAAGAAGGTTGATACTACTGAATCATCCAATCAGTGGATAAGCCATTCTACTAGAGTAGGTAGATTCTCTTCTAGTTTTTTGCTCATGGTCAGTAAAAATAAGCCTCTAATTTTTGCTTATTTTTCCCTCTTAGGTACCAGCATGTGTTACATAGAAATCTCATTTATTTAGCTACCATCGCAGATGCCAGCCCATCAAGTACTTCAAAAGCAATGGAATGATCTTTCAGTTGTAAGGAGTAATTGAATGTAATCCATCTCCTATAAAATGGAGACAGGATCTTTACCAACTCAACTGCTTAAAACATGAAACCTCTGATTCTTTTTAAAATGTGAAAATGTGAAGGAAGCTACTAGTTTAACTATATTCTCAATGTAAATATTTATTTTTAATAATTAATCAGATCCCCCAGAAGGTAGACCCCAGGTGTCCTCTTTCCTGAAATGGGAGTGTGTTTGGATAACAAAGACATCATGGGCATCTTCAAGACTACTCTTTAGTTTCAGCCTGAAGAGGAAACTGAGTAGGTGTTGGAGGATCAGCAGGAATTGCTGAGACTTCTGACTGAGCCTTTGCCAAATGGATTCAGTATCTGTGTTCTCCCATCCAGTTTGTAAATGTGTTCCCCCTGACCCCTCTTCTCTTCTTGGGTTACTTTGAAATAAAGCTTGCTTTTCCACAAAAGAACGATATGAAGGTATAGATATTTCCGTGTAGAGTGTTGTATTTGGTTCCCTCAAAAATTGTAAGGATTTAATAACCATAAGGTATGTAACAATACTACTGTTATATTACTACTGTTATGTGTTGCCAACAAAATTAATAGTGATTCTTTAGTATTATCTAGTATCATCTGATAATAAAAGATGTGTAATTTTCTTTATCTCAAAATGTCTTCACATTCATTTGTCTGATTTGGGATCCAGTAAGATTCACACTTTGCACTTTGTTGATGTCACTTTAAAAATACTTAATAGTGAGGCTGGGACTGTAGCTCAGTGGTAAAGTGCTTGCCTCAAATGTGTGAGGCACTGGGTTCAATCCTCAGCACCACATAAAAATAAATAAAGATACTGTATGCTCATCTACAACTAAATAAATATTTTTAAAAAATACTTAATAGTTCTTCCTCTTTTTTTCTTTGCCACTTCTTGAAAATGTAGGTGATTTGCCTAGAATTTCTCATGTTTTAGATTCATCCGGTTGTATCCTAGTAGTGTCATTAAATATATGCCACTGTCACACACTTTTCCTGTAAGTTGGTCTAGAGGCTTATTCAGACTCAGGTTCTGATATTTGGGGCAAGAAAAAAATCATAGGAAATAATAAGTACTTGATCTGATTTATTTTCAAGTTCCCAACAGCCTTTGGCTTAAATTATGATCTTCCCAGCTTGGATCTTGTAATTCATTAAAGGTTGCATAGTGGTGATTTTGTAATTTTGTCATTTCTTCTGCCTTTATTAACTGAATTCTGTTTTTAAAAAACTTTTTCCCTATGGGGTTGGAGATGTGGCTTAAGCGATAGCGCGCTCGCCTGGTATGCGTGTGGCCCGGGTTCGATCCTCAGCACCACATACAAACAAAGATGTTGTGTCCGCCGAAAACTAAAAAAATAAATATTAAAAATTCTTTCTCAGGCTGGGAATGTGGCTCATGCGGTAGCGCGCTTGTCTGGCATGCGTGTGGCCCAGGTTCGATCCTCAGCACCACATACCAACAAAGATGTTGTGTCCGCCGAGAACTAAGAAATAAATATTAAAACAATTATCTATCTCTCTCCTCTCTCTTAAAAAAAAATTCTTTCTCTAAAAAAAAAAAAACTTTTTCCCTATTTAAATTTTAAATGAGGCAAAGAGATTCTTGTAAGTAAACCCCAATTAGAAGCTCAGGTCCCTATTCCTTTTGCTGGGAACATGAAGAAGAAACAGTAAGTGTTGGGATCGCAACCCAGAGTGACTATAAAACATAAATGGTGAAGAGAACTAATTTTGAATCCCAGCTTTATCCCTTAACCTCTGAGATCTCTGTTTCCTCAACCTATAAAATAGTGATAATGAAAACAGTAACTGAGCCAGGCACAGTAACATGCTTGTAATCTCAGTGGCTGAGGAGGCTGAGGCAGGAGGATCGAGAGTTCAAAGCCAGCTTTGGCAAAAGCAAGGTACTGAGCAACTCAGTGAGACCCTGTCTCTAAATAAAATACAAAATAAGGCTGGGGATGTGGCTCAGTGGTCGAGTATCCTTGAGTTCGAATATCCTTCAAATATCCTAGTACCAAAAAAAAAAAAAAACCCAAAACAAAATAAAAAACTACCTGCCTCTTGAGACTGAGATTGAAATAAAGCAGTATGCGTTGGGCCATAGTAAATACTCAAGGTGTGTTAGCTCAGATGTATTATCTGAGGGCTCTGGCCCTCCCTAGGCCTTCTCAAATCTGGGAGAGAGCCTGATCCTTAGCTTTCCCTCTCAATTGGCTATCCTAATGGTTTTAGCTCATTTATAGTCTTCTTCACTGTTCATGAAGTTGTTGCCCATACTTTATACCAGTTGGCACAGTGGGCTGCTCATGGGCCTGATCTGGTCAACAGATGTGTTGGGACTGTGCATTGTTTTTTAGTTTTGAATTTGTTGCTAACATTTAAAATATTTCCCATTAAAACCTAGGTTTCTAGCAGTTCTGGGCTTGCAGAAATATGTGGTAACCATCAGCTGGAGTGGGATGGCAGCTGCCCCTCTTTGCTAGGCAGCTTGATTTGTTTACATAGGACCCGGCACCCAGGGAGCCACCAGACTAGTTCCATCTGGGATGTGGGCATAGGCTGACTGTTCACCTTGAGCCTTCTCTAAAGCAAAACCCAAAACAAGACCTTGGGAGCAATATGATTACTTAAAAGATGATCTCAAGGAGTAGGAGTAAGGCCATAAGGAGAGTATGAAAGGAAGGAAGAAAAGCCATTGCATTGTTGTGATAGGTAATAGAAGTTCAATTGTGGGAACTTCTGAGAAGCATGCAAGATGTCCCAGAACTGACAACCAGAGAAAGATGAGGCAACCTGTAGTAACCCCTTGTTATAACAAGCAGGCTTTAATTGGCTCCCTGAATGTCAAAGGAGACAGAATAAAGGAGCTGCATGGCAGGCCTCTAAGTTGGGCTCTACCAGCAAAAAGTGAGTCTTACTTTGTAGGAATTATCTGATACTGGCTGCAGCCCATTGGATGGGACAGGGTCTATGACAAAACACCAGAGGCTCCTCTGCAGGGGAATACAGGCTCAGCAAGAGAGTGTGGCCTATAGTAATTAAGTGCAGCTTCTGAGATGGGAAGGGAAATAGTCTTGAAGACAAAACTCAGCTATCCCTCAAAGGGAAGTAGATTTGTGATGGCTGTGTTTCTCTCCCTTTGTCTTTTGGAAGGATGCTTAATTTGTAGACTAGGCAAATCCCAAGCCTCTGAGAATGGCTGGGGTTACATGGCCACAGCCTAACCTATGACCTGTTTCCAGAAAATACCCTGGAAAAGCTGGTGCAGGCTAGATAGCTATCTGCAATCCTGCCCATCCAAAACACAGCAGCCACCATCCCATTCAAAGGGCCTAGGAACCAATATGGCTGTGAAAAATGATTAGGGGAAAAAAGACCCAGCAATGATCTATATTAATAAAACTATATTAATCACTCTCCCTTCTCAGAGGACCTGCTTCAAGACTTGACCCGCCACACAACCTATCTGAGCCCTTCTCCAACTCACATTTTTAAGCTGATTGATCTCTCAATAGCCCAGGAATGTGTCTGTTCTCTAGGGATACCATCCCAAACTTGCCTCTTAAAATTTGCAACAGTGGTGACTTGTCATTATCACACTCCTCAGATGAAGTTATCAGCTAAAACAAAGAAAGCAGATAATTTGAGGTTGGATTGTATTCCACAGAATGTTAGGCTATTTTTCCACTTCATGAGGTCTCTTGACGTCCCAATTTTACCTCTGGAGACTCTTAGTCATGATGACTAGCAAGGAAATGATGTTAAGTACTATCTTATGTGCCCTTGAACCTTTGCAATAAACCTCCATTAGTGGAGATGATCAGAGTGTATTAATTAAGCTGAATACATAGTATCTTTATTTTATTGTTACTCTACCACTTTTTTTTTAAACTGGGGATTGAATCCAGGGGTGCTCTACCACTGACTCCATCCCCAGCCCTTTTAATTTTTTGAGACAGAGTCTCACTAAGTGCCCAGGCTGTCCTTGAACTTGTGATCCTTCTGCCTCAGCCTCTCAAATCACTGGAATTACAGGCATGTGCCACCTGATACTGTTTTAAAATCTATTCCTTTTTTTTTTTTTTTTTTTTGTACTGGAGATTGAACCCAGGGGCACTTAACCACTGACCCATATCCCCAGCCTTTTTTTATATTTTATTTTAAGACAGAGTCTCTCTAAGTTGCTTAGGGCCTCACTAAGTTGTTAAGGCTGGCTTTGAACTTGCAATCCTCCTGAGTCAGTAGGATTATAGATATGTGCCACTGTGCCTGGAAAATCTATTCCAGTTTAATAAAAACAATTTTCAGGAGTTAATTTGTCACCTGTTTTCAAAGTCCCAAATATTCCTCCAAAATCTAAATGTTCTCTTGAGTTATTGGATCTTCTTCCTTTCTAAACCCAAAGGAAGTTTTTTTTTCCCATCTCTGTGCTGTTTGATTCAAAAAATATTTATTGATCAACTAGAATTATGCTGAGGATACCGCAGTGAGGAAGCCAGATGGTGTCCCTGATCTCATGAAACCTTTCTTTGTGCTTCCTGCGGGAAGCAAAATGACAATAAGCATAAATAAGAACAGCTTTATTATGCAGAGAATTACAACAGGGTAATGTGCTCAAAAGTGTTTGCTGGTTACTTTAGATTATGGAACACAAGATGACCTGAAGAGGTTGAAACTGCAGCTGAGATATAAACAAGGAAAGTGACACATGACCATCAAAGGGAACAGCAGAGGCAAGAGCTTAACAAAGATCCTCCATTATGTTTTTTTCTCTCTCTGTGTCTATTATATTTATTCAGCAATACCTATGTGTTCATGGATTCAATTATAACAGGAGTCCTCATTTGACAAGGCCTTGTACAGGGCTCTCCAGTGAGGAAAACAGGTGGAGGGACACTGGGCCCTGCTTTTGGTGAACCTCTAGACCTGGCAATATAGAAAAGACCCACACTCTGGCAGAGACCAGGGCACCCTGCAGGTTCAGAGATGCCTGAGCAATTGCCCAGATGTTGAAGCTGCAAAGAATTACATGTGGAAATTATCAAGTGCTTCTTGTATGTCATAGAAAAGTCTTATGATTTTTCAATTCCTAAACAAAAAGCTGACTTGTCAGATGTAGCTGAAGCAGTCAGCACCCACTCTCATTCCTTGAACTTTTTTCCAACTTCACTGAACATTCCTACACATGGGCTCCAGATGACTCCCAGCTGTCTGCTTCACCAATATCCAGCGCCCTCACCCCTCTGGTGGGATGATTCTAAGGTGTTTCATTTGTACTGGTTGCCTGAGTTCCTCAGCAGGATGACGCTCCAGTCTCCCTCTGTGATAGCTGGCTTAATATCATACACTATTGGTTATCTTTTTTGTTTTACTTCCCTGCTCCCTGAATGTACTTTTGCAGGATTACTTCCTGTCTTAGTCCCTTTGAACTTCTATTACAAGATACCATAGACCAGATAGTTTATAAATAACCAAAGTCTATTTCTCACAGATCTGGAGGCTAGGAAGCTCAAGATCAAGGTCCCAGAAAATTTGGTGAGAGCCCATTTCCTGGGTCACAGACAGCCCTCTTTTCATTGTATCCTCACATGGGCAAGGAGTCTCTTTCAGGAATCTTCTATAAGGACTC